TGGAGAAGATTTCAAGGCATAGAAATATCTCCCATATTCATTGATCATCAGGTTTAACATAGTAAAACTGGTCAGCTTATCAACAACAGCAATAACCATCAAAATTCTAACACAATTATTTACAGATCAGAAAATAACAATACTCAACTTTGTATGAAAAAATAAAAAGAAAAGCAGGATAGCTAAAGCAATCTTGGACGAGAAAATAACAACACTATCACTGATTTAAAGCTATACCACAAAATACTAGTAATAAAACTCATATGCTTTTGTCATTAAAAACAGAGAGATTGTTCTTTTGATAAGATCAAGGACCCAGAAGAAAATACATACTCCTATGGACATTTGATTTTTGACAGAGAATCCGAAATTACACAATAGAAAAAACAACATTTTCAACAAATGGCACTGGTAAAACTGGATGTTTGCATGTATAAGAATGCAAATAAATGCATATCTATCATTGTACAAAAATCAAGTCCAAGAAGATCAAAGACATCAACATAAATCCACATACACTTAACCTGATAAAGGAGAAAGTGGGATATAGCCTTGAACACATTGAAACAGGAGACAATGTTCTAAGCAGAATACTAATTGAGCAGGCAATAATACTGACAATTAACAAATGGGATGTTATAAAACTGAGACACTTGTGTAAGGCAAAGGAAACTGTCAATAGGCCAAAAGGCCATTCACAGAATGGGAAAAGATTTTAACCACTTCCACATTGGACAGTGGTGCAATACCTAAAACATATATAGAACACAAGAAACTAGATAACATTAAAATAAACAATCCAATTTAAAAATGAAGTAGAGATCTACACAGATAATTCTCAACAGGGGTGTATCAAATGGCTGAGAAGTAGTCAAAGAAATATTCAAATCCTTAGGCATCAGGGAAATGCAATAAAAATCAACACTGAAATTTTATCTTACCCCTGTCTGAGTGGCTAAGATCAAAATTACCATTGACAGATTTATGGCGAAGAACACGTGGAACAAGAGGAACACTCCTCCACTGCTGGTGGGAGTGCAAACTTATACAGCCACTTTGTAAATAAATATGGCAGTTTCCAAGAAATTTGGGAATTGATCTACCTCAAGACTCAGTTATACCATACCACTCTGGCCATATGCCTAAAGAACAATCCATACCACAGGACCATTGTTCAACTATGTTTATAGAATCTTTATTTGTAATAGTCAGAAACTGTAAATAAACTCAATAGAATAATGGATACAGAAAATCTGGTTTATTTATATAATGGAGTATTACTCAGCTGTTAAAAACAATGACATCATTAAATTTGAAGGCAAACTGATGGATGTAGATAAGATAGTCATGATTAAGGCAATTCTGACACATAAATACAAGAATGGTATGTACTCAATCATAAGTGACTATTACATCAGAAGTAAAGGAGAAACAAGCTACAACTGACAGACCAAGAGAAACTAAATTATTAGGTATGCCCAAGGGCGGGTGGTATGCATGCATCTCACTGTGAGGAAGTAAAACGGACATTGCTAGTGGATGGGGGAGAGTCTTTGAAGGGAGAATGGATATGGAACAGGAGGGATCATATGGGCAGAGGATGGGTTGAGAGAGAATTAGGAGAGACAATGGAATATGGGGACATCACTGGGATGAGATGGAAACCTAGAGCAATAGAAACACCCTCAGGAATCGATGAGGGTGACCTAGTAACTTAGAGTATGGCAGCTGAACTAGCCATCTCCTCTAATCAGGCAAGATTTCCTGTGGGAGGCCTGGGATACCAGGCCAGCCACAAATCCTTCAACCTACAATCTGTCCTACAGAGAAAATTTGTTGGGTAAAGATGTGGCAGCATTTGGGAGAATGAACACGTAATGACCAGCAGAGCACAGACTCATATCAAGAGAAGGGCTCCCATCTGAGGGCCAGCACCCAGAGGCAGTATACCCCAGAGATTTGGGATAGCAAAAATATGAACGGCAATGGAAGTCAATGAAATGATATACTGCTTTTTTGTATAGATTGATATCTAGTACTACTGTCATCATATAGGCTTCACCACAAAACAACTGATGGAAAAATATGCAGAGACTACAGCCAAACATTAGGTGGAGCTTACAAATACACTTCAGAACAGGGCAAGGATGGAGTGTAGGGGCCAGTGATATCAAAGTCACCAAAAGAAAATCCACCGAGTAAACTAACCTGAGCTCTAAGAGTCTAAGAGCCAGAGAGGAGGGAGGACATAAAGAAACAAGGCCCTCCACATCAGCATGAGAAAAACACATATGAAGCCACATTCGGCAACATGTGGCATTGTGTTCCATGTCTGCACCAGTTCTCAAATTATAAATTAGAGTTTCTAGTTTTATGATTTGTTTGACTTCCCATGTGTTCAAACATTAAGATCTCTGATTTTTGTGCTATTTCTTGTGATGCTTCTGTTCTGGTGATTTGTCTAGTCCAACTCTAAGATTATAGTATTGATTCATCATATTGTACTTTATTTTGTTATAATTTCTAAAAATGAATGAATGAGTGAATGAATGAATGAAAATCTAGGCACTGGGGTAAAGGTTAACATCTGAACTGTCATTTATACCTGCTGGGAGAGGGAAAATCAGGATTCTGCAGTGCAGTGACCCTGTATATATCAACCACTCCAGGCCAGTCTTCATGTTCAGGAGTAATCAACCAACATATAAGAGACTCCATAGTTTTGGGGGGTTTTGTGTGTGGGGGTGGGTGCTCACAGTTAGTTACACTTTGGTGTTTTACTTTTGTTCCTTTTTTATTAGTATTAGAAATTTTCTATTAATTTTACATACTGACCACAGATCCCCTTCCTCACCTTCCTCTGACCACCATATCCTTCCCCTTCAACCCACACCTACATTCCCATCTCAAACACAAGACCTACGATAGGGAGTCAGCAGAGCCTAATAAACTCAGTTGAGCCAGGTCCAAGCCCCTACTCTGCTGGGGATATCACTCTGTATAAATAAACAAAGATGGGCCAGTGGCGAGGCAGGAAGGATAGGCAGGACTAACAGAGAGGAGAAAAGAGGAAAGAGGAAGGCAGAGAAGAGACTGTCTGGAGCCATGGCCAGGACAAGGAAGATGTAAAGTACCGGTAAGCCATGAGCCAAGTGGCAAAGTAAAGATTAATAGAAATGTGTTAAATGTAAGTAGGTAGACAATGATAGGCCTGAGCTAATGGCCAAGCAGTTTAAATACTGTAAGAGTCTGTGTGTTTATTTTATAAGTGGGCTCTGGGACTGACAGGACTTGGCAGCGGGAGCTAGAGAGATATTCTCCAACAACACTACTCCTGCACCAAGGTTATGTAATTTGTCCCACGCTAGGATGTGTGGACTCTCAAAAGCCTGCTATACACCAGGGATGGTTCCTGATCCCACTTTCAGGGGGCCCATTAAGAAGAATAAACTAATCAACTGTCTTGCCTATGCAGAGGGACTAGTCCAGTCTCATAGTGTTTTTCTCTTTTGCTATTGTTTTCATTTGGGGATTTTTTTTAACAAGAAATTTGAAGTTGGGTGTGTAAGAATGGGGAGATGATTTGGAAAGAATTGTGTGAGGGAAAGTATCTGATCAAAATATATTTAAATTGCCATGTTTGGTGGTGCTTGCCTTTAATACCAGCACTCAGGAGGCAGAAGCAGGCAGATTTCTGTGTTCAAGGCAAGGCTGGGCTACAAACTGAGTTCCAGGACAGGCTCCAAAATAATATATAATTAATAATTGTTTTAAAAAATAAAAAATATAATAAGAGAAAATAAAAGCAACAAAAGAGTTTCAACTATCAGCAACCTTTGTCATCACCAGATTCTACTTCTATAAGTTTAGCAGTGGCTGTAAAATTGCTTCTCCTTAGCTAAATTTTTGAAGACTTCTAATGGTGGACAAGTTTTTTTTTTTTTTTTGACAGACTGTTTGCTCAGGACAATTTCGTTTTGCTCAGTAAAAAGTACAATTGGTATCTTTATCATTGATTATAAATGTGTAAATGATTGTTGCATTTCAGATGTAACTTTAAAACTACTTAAATTTTTGAGTTGCTGATCAAATGATAATACTTTTTTGCTTATATGCTTGGTTTCATTATTATGTGCCCATCATTAGAAGGAAGATTTTTTAATCACATGAAAATAAATTAGATAAATGAACTTCAAAATTATTTTCCTTATTAGTCTTTTGAAACAAGGTCTCTTGTACCCAAGGTTGGCCTCAAACACACCAGACAACCAAGGATGGCCTGTGGTTCTGAGTCAGTCTCTAACTCTCAGTGCAATGTTGACAATCGTGTGACACCCTGCCAAGATATGTTTTTAATTTTTAAAGTAAGAGATATTTGTGACACGCACATATTACTTAAACATATTTATGACTTTCAGTGGGACATTTCAATGAAATGAAACCTGCAAAATAACATAAGGGTAGGGCTTATCAGAGTATTTAGATATATTTCATTACTTAGCGTTGAAATATTTTAGATATTCTCTTCTAAGATTTTTGAAATTTCCAGTGTCTTCTAGCTCACCATGCAGAAACCCTCAGTACTTCAGAGCACAGGACACCTTCCTCCTGAAAGATTGCATGCCTTTGTCCCTCTTCTTTTCATCAAAGGGAGATGGCATACATTTTGGCACATCAGTGGTATGACACTGTGTACCCCTTCCCCACAACCCCTGGGTCATCAGCTGTACCAAAATTGTAGCATAGACAGATTTGAAACACAACTAGAACAAGTTTGAGCTCCCCCAATCTACTTCAGGGTCAAGTAGAGTGGACTAGGAGGCTGGACGTTAAATGACAGACCACCTTAATAAAGGAAATAGGGTATGATCTCATATTTAGTGAATCTTCATGATCCAACAAGTGATAGAATAGGTGGAATAGGGATACTGAACAATGTGGGGTGCTGTATGGGGTGAATTGCTAAAGGATTTTGTGATTGATGTAAGAATGACAGTTACCTTTTTCATGTCTTCATAGCTCAGTAACAGGAAGTTGTCCTTTTCTCTCATAGACAGCCAGTTACGGGTGTGCTCAAACCATGATCCATATGGCACTGTATGAAAGGGGAAGGAAATTATTGATTACAAAGAATAAAATTGAGGTTTGCCTGTTATTATTCACTTTCCACAAATGGCAGACAACTTTACTAAGAAAAACCAAATCAGTATTTAAAGCATTTAATGTGATATTTTATGTAGCCATGTCAGAGGAGCTGTAGGTGGCAACTGAAGATCAGTAGGTTGGTCCACCAGGAAGGAAAGTTCTAATGGGTGAATCTCAGATAGGTGAGGCCCCAAAGGCTTTGGCTCTATAATGACTTTTGCTAATGTTGCACCTTAACATTTATGCCACTGCTATTTTCCTATGGTATCTAGCATGATGTGAATGCATGCGGGAAGTTCTCCACTTCCCTTAAATTATTATGACTATCTCCAGGAAATATCCCATTCTACTGGGCATTTTAATTTGTGGATTATTATAAAAATGATTTACTCCTAAGCTATTCTGTTTAGAGCAATGATTTTATATAAAATAATATTGTTGGTTTAAACAGCATTTTGGTGATTTGGGTTCTTTAAAAATATAGTAAATGATTATGATAGTTTAGTTGAGGAGGGAAACTAATGAAGCCAAATGCAAGATAGGTGTTTCCCATGCCCATGATAATGAATGGGCAACAGAGGATAGAAAATAAGAACAAGGAAATTTCACATACCTAGTTTCTTTTGAGGATCTACATGGATTGTGGTTTAGAGTAATGATTAAGAAAAACAATTGTGTTGTAGAATATTTTTAAAAGTATGTTACTTTTTTATGTTGCATTTGTTTAACTTTGGGAAGTTATGGTACTTGTCTAAACACCTGATAGTCTAATAAAGATCTGAAGCCAATAGGGAGGCTTGAGAAAGGACAGAAGGGGCTGGCAGGCAGAGGACATGTAGAAGAATTCTGGGAGTAAAAAAGATCAATGAATGAGAGAGGAATAGGAAGGCATCAGAGTCAGCCAACCAGATACACAGCCAGTGCCAGAAGAAGTAAGAAGAAGAGTAAGATTTACAGATGTAAGAGAATGGGAAAATCCCAGAGGCAAAAGGGAGATGAGATTATTTAAGTTGAGGAAAGTAGGAAAGAAACAAGTCAAACTAAGCCCAGGTATTTACAAGTAAGAATAAGCCTCTTCACGGCGGTAGATGGCAAAGACATACAGGCCCGGCTGTGGCCCGCAGAGGTAGATGGGGCCCAGTGGCGGAAACCAACAGGGACATACAGGCCCGGCAGTGGCGGTGGCCAACAGGGACATACAGGCTTGGCAGAGACATACAGGCCTGGCGGAGACAGCCCACAGAGGTAGACGGGCCCAGCAGCAGCAACAAGCAGAGGCAGGTAGGTCCGAGGTAGAAGCCTGAAGAAACATACAGGCCCAGCAGTGGCCAGCTGGTTCATACAGGTCCAGCAGTGGCCCACAGAGGTACAAAAGGCACTACAGCAGCAACAAGCAGAGGCAGGTAGGGCCGAGGCAGCAGACAGCAGAGACGCACAGGCTTGACAGCAGCCCGCAGAGGTGGAATGACCCAGCAGAGGCAGGCAGGCCCAGAGGGGAGGCAGGCAGGCACACCAGGTGATGGCCGAAACACAGTCACAATAAAGACCAGAAACAGAGCTATTACCCTCTGAAGAGCTAGTGAAAACAAACTCTTAATCAAAAGCTTGGAACAGGGATGCCTTAAACACCAACACCCAGGGAAGAAGCTATTTCCATGGGACAGAACCAGAATGAATCTGAACACTCATCTGAGGAAAACCCAGCGCACAGCTGCTGATCCTGCAAAACCCAACAACGTGGAGGTGTTGGTGAGGCTACCCCACTCAGCTGAAATCCATCTGGGAGAGGATTCAGATCCATGCAGTTTGAAGTCTGAAGAAACAAGATCAGCTGAGGAGTTGACAAATGAACAAAACATGACCTGGGAATACAGAAGAAGGTGCTGGCCAGCCACCAAACCAGATCATCAGAATCATAAGTATATACTTCACCGACTGAGATCAGCTGCCAGTGAAGAAACAGCCCAATAGCACCAATTTAACTAAGAACTCCTACTGAACCAAGACTAAAAATTAGAACAAGAGAGGCACTCTCAGACACAGACACCACCTGCACCAAGCAGAGGAAGAGATGAGTAGACGCCAGTGCAAAAATACAGGCAACAACATAAAGACCGATATGGCAACATCAGAACCTACTGATTCTAAACCTGCAATACCTGAACATGCCAAGACAAAGAAACAGAAGTAATCAATACTAAAAATGACTTTAAGAAGATGATAGAGGCCCTTAAAGAAGAAATAAAGCATTCACTTAAAGAGGAAATAAAAACTTTTTTAAAGAGAAAATGAAAAACTCCATTAAAGAGGAAATAAAAAATCCCCTGAAAGAAATAGAAGAAAAAATGAACAAAAAATGGGAAGAAATCAAAGAAAGCCATTAAAAAGCAATTAAACAGATGAAAGAAACATTCCAACATCTGAAAAATGAATTTGAGACAATAAAGAAATCATATGCTAAGGGAGTGCTAGAAATAGAAATCCTGACTAAACGAACA